TAGATTTTTTAAAATTGATTTTAGTGAGAGAAGAAGGGGGAGAGAGAGAGAGTGCATATCCCCTACTGGGGATCGAACCCACAACTTGGGCAATGTGCCCCTGACCAGAACTGAACCTGGGACCCTTCAGTCCACAGACCCACACTCTACCACTGAGCCAAACTGGCCAGGGCTTCAGCCCTCTTTAATTACATAATTGAAACTGGTTCTCAGTAAGAGGGGAAAGAAATAGAATGGCTCCATGTAGTCGAAGTTAACATTTTAAATCTGAGACCTAAACGATGATCGATAAATGATAAATTGCACTTACAGAAACTACTTTTAAATTACTTTAGGTAATGTGTAGATCACCTCAGCTACTGGTTTGGAAAAGGAAAGTGCATTTCTCTTGCTTGCTCACCTCTCTGTAGAATGTGTCCATCTAATTCCCAGGATGCTAAGAGGGAGCTACTCTTCAGATTTAGAGAAGAACCTCGAAGGCCTTTGTAGGGGAGATTTTGCTGACAGCTGCAAAAGCTCTATGTGGCCATTCAACCTAATTGCAGAAGCTATGTATGCCATCTGGTATATTTTTTTCCCCTTTAAGAACTATATTCTTATTTCCTCCCAGATTTATTGAGGTATAATTGACAAATAAAAACTGTATATGTTTAAGATGTACAAATGATGATTTCATATACATACACGTTATGAAAGGATTACCACCATCAAGCTAATTAACACAACCATTACCTCACACAGATCCTCTCTTTTTGTGTGTGGTGAGAACACTTGAGATCTACTCCCTTAGCAAATTTTAATACCACACTCTGTTATTAACTATAACCAGGCTGTACATTAGCTCCTCAGAACTTATTAATCTTCTAACTGAAAGTTTGTACCTTTGACCAGCATCTCCCCATTTCCCCCACCTCCCAGACCCTGGCAACCACCATTCTACTCTGTGCTTCTGTGAGTTTGACTGTTTTAGATTCCGCATATTGAGTGAGGTCATACAGTATTTGTCTTTATCTGTCTGACTTCTTTC